ACACCTTGTTATCTCTGCTGGAACTGTATACTCTGTTAGTCAACATATGAAAGGGGGGAAAAAAGGTTAATATCCTAGGTCCGTATCTTGATATCCTTCCAACAGTTTTGATTTTGCTTTCCTAGTTATAAAGAAATGTATAGAATGGGTGTTGGTATTAACTATTCTAAAAATGTCTCAAAAAACTATTGTGCTGTCAGTTGCTTTCATTTGATCCATTACTTTTCCTATGTCAGAGGAACAAGGTTACAGTTAATTTGGTGAAGATGATAATAGTCAAATAATACTCAGAATGGAGTAACAACAGAAGTTGCTGGAAAATTCAGTAGGTCTGGCCGCATCTGTGAATAAAAAAATTAAAGTTAACTTTGCGGATCCGGTGACCCTTCCTCAGAACGGAGTGCTTGAATAGGGTATTTAGAACTACTACAGTATTTAAAAAAGAATCAAAATTCTGCCTCAAAGCTGTGAAAGTTGAGACAGTTTTATAAAAGGAAATCAGAATGTTGACTGTTTCTCTGTCCCCATTTTGCTGCCAGACCTGTTGAATAATTCCAGCGTTTCCTGTTTTGATTTCGAAAAATAGGAATATTTGAATGAAAATATTCATACTTTAAAAGATCAAAGTTGATGAAAAACCTTAAGTCTTTAGCTGCTTGTTAACTTTTGTGCCCAACATTTAAAAGGTTTAACAAGTATTTTCAAATAGCTGAAATACTCTATTCATGCACTATCTGTTATTGTCAGCCTCCATTGTATAAGTGCATCTTTTGGCCCTGTTCCTAAGATGATGACAAAATCATTCCTTCAGGTAACAAAATGAAGTATCAAATGGGGAATCAGAAGCACATATTTAGTCCATGAGAATGTTTCATAGATTTTTAAACAATAGAAAGATGAATTGGCATAATATGAGTCATTGGCTTCAAGTTTATTAGTTTGCTTTGGACAATTGCACTTCAGGACTTTAAGACATCTCAAGTTTTCCAGCCAGACACGGAACATTTTTAATGTGGCCTCCTTATAGGACCTATTGCTTCAGACCTCAGGCTATTTCAACAATACCTATACCTTATATTTAGTCAGGGAGTTCTCCCAGAGCAGAAATCTGGAATGTAGCTTTCAAGTTCAATACAAATTTAACATTCAAGAATGCAATTATCAAAAATAAATTCGTTGTATTTATTTATAGACTTTCCTACGCTCAGGATGTTCCAAAATCCATCGTAACTAATTACTTTTGAAATGCTATCATTTGTTTTGTGGGTAAACAAGGCATTTTGTGCAGAGGAAGAGCTCCAAACAGCAGTTAGATAAATGAATGAGTTTCTTCCTTTCGCCCTTATAGGATTCATATGTTGCTCATTTGCTACAGATTTTGGGAGATTTCTTTTACATGAGAATTATCATAAAAATTCATGTTGCTGCTGTGCAAGCTTGTTATTGTGTCCAGTGTTTCGCATTATTCCAATGTGACGATAGAAGCCCATTCTTTAGGTCCTTACTTGAATAGTGGTTACGCGACTGCAACATGGAGCTTTCCCTATGATAAAGATCTTCATCCCTATTTAGGAGACATCAAGGTCCACATGAAAATTAAAGCAAAAAAAACTGTGGAGACTGGAAATCTGAAATAAAAACAACAAAAGGTGTAAGAGCACAGCAGATGGGACAATTTCTGTGGAGAAGAAAGAAGGAAAGTTGACATTTCAGGTTCTGATTAGAGGTCATCAACCTGAAAAATAACCCTGCTTCTTTCCTCTCCACAGTTGCTGCCTGACTAGCTGAATATTCCCAGAAATTGTTTTAACCAGGTACTCCTTTAGGAATCTTCTTTCATCTCCATTTCGGAGTGCCAAGAATTGGAGCTTTGTCACTAATCTGGTTTCTTTGTTTCCACAGCATTACAAATAATACCTTTGGATATAATTTTGCAATATTGCAAGTTATTATTATTGAATGGGAAATATCAGTAAAAGCAACACCATGTGCATTTCTTTCATTGCTGTCTCATTTTTCAGACCCAGTTCAGTCCTTGCTAGTCATTCGCGATGTCTCCATCAAACCACAGTGACAGAAAAGGCAGAAAGGTAAACTTGAATATTGTTTTTAAGACTTTTATCAAGTATATTGTGTAGACTCTGTCAGAATGATTAAATTGTAATGGAAATAGTATTAAACCAATTGTGTAGGAATAATGTAAGAGTGTATGCATTCAGTAAAGCAGTTTCTCGCTACATTTATGTTTAATATCAAACAAACCTGGATTATAGCTTTCCCCTCACATAGGAGAGAATTATAAAGGCGTTGGTTTATAATATGTTAAAATCACCAACTATTATGTGCAATTAAGTCAATTCAAAACCTTTAAAAGGCTGGTTCAGGAATTAGCCAAAATGTTGCCTTGAAGCAGTTTCAATTAGCTGTTCACACCTCATCACTCTCCGATGGTGACAAATAAAAAGCCTGCACTAATATCAGCCAAAGTCAGATTTTCAAAGCATTTCAGTTTGCTGTTTATGTCTGATAAAGCGGGTGTGCCTCAGTGATGAGATTCTGCATGCATATCTTACAATGTGCGTTCTGCAGAGTGCAAGGGTGACTAATTGACACAATTGATAATGAACAAGGTAATAATGAGACAAAAATATGAAAAAAAAGTTGAAACAGGAGGAGATGGGAAGCCTAAAAATTGTACCAAAGAGAAGACTGTTGTGACTTTTTTTTTAAATGTGGCAACAGTAAGGCAAATAAATTTCAGGAATGCAAATCATCCCGTCAAACTTATTTACCAAGAGAGAAATGCACCCCACATTGCAACCCACCCCAAAAATCAGCACACAGCACCTTTACTTATGATACAACCATCCTCCATTACTAACATCCAAGTGAAATGGCAGTAGATTGCAGTTGAAATTTAATTAATGTTTTATTTGTTTTATTAAAAATGTTCGTTTAACAAAGCTGTATCTTATCAACATTTTTGAATATGTAATTAAAGCAGGGATTAAAAGCAGAAAAGTACTGGAAATGTGCAACATCTTGTTGCATAACTGGAAGAAGAAAACATTTCCTTTAAGTTTCGTAGCTAGGTCTCACTTGAAACATGAGCAGCATCTGTCTTAAGCATATAGACTGAACCTGTCTTGAAAGGGAAAGACCAATCAGTCCGTCAAGCCCCTGGCTACCTCTGTAAATCATTCTTTCCCTTCCCTTCTAAGAATTAAACAGATCAACTGATTCTGCCCAATTGCCAACAATATCTCAGTAAATTTGTAAATTTGACATTTATCTTTCTTTTTTGGTGGTTTCATTTAAAATCTAATTGGGACTGGAATTGTTTGCTTTGCAGCTCAACACAAGCCAAACAGGCAAGCACTGAAGTAGCTGCCAAGAAATTTTCACTTCCCAGCAATAAAGGGGAGTATGTCATCACAAAACTAGATGAGCTGATAAATTGGGCCCGACGGGTGAGTGCTGCATTTGCAAAGAGGCTGCATCAGCTTGTCTATGTGATTATGCAAGTAATTGAACAGATATATTAAATGTTTCACTAATTGAGTTTGGGGATGTGGCTTCAAATTACAGCTGCATCTGGCTATTATCTACTAGAATGCATTTTGGGACCGATAATATGTTTTAATATATTGCTTTGCAGCTTTATTTAATATGGTGCAGTTGTAATTACTTCCTTTTAACCATATTTTGTTTGCCGTATGTGGTATAAAGGCATTTTGAAAATGATTGGTTAGAAGTGAGAAACATTTGTTTGAAAGGATTTTTCTTCAATGCTTTCAGAGTTCTTTGTGGCCCATGACCTTTGGGCTTGCCTGCTGTGCTGTTGAAATGATGCACATGGCAGCGCCCAGGTATGACATGGACAGGTTCGGCATCGTCTTCCGTGCTAGTCCTCGGCAGTCAGACGTCATGATCGTGGCTGGTACTCTCACAAACAAAATGGCTCCAGCTCTTCGAAAGGTGACCCAGTGGTTTTGAGGCCGTGCTTTCTGCAGGTTTCCTCCTTTCTAACACACAATATTAAAATGCTGTAAATAGAGTCATTGGGATGTACAGCACTGTGAAGCTAAAACAGAGAACAGCAGGGTCCCCACTGTGGTGAGAATAGTTGGCGTTACTGATCAGTTTCCTCTTTTAGAACTGTTCTGCTATTGAGTGTAACCCAACAAAGACTTCGCTGCTTGGCTGATTGACCTGCTGTGTGCCCAGGCCTTTTCTCTTTCAGTCGTCTTGAGAGGATGAAGGGCGGTGGCATAATGGTAAAGTCAATGTACAAGTAATCCAGCCCTTCCGCTAACGTTCTGTGGGCATGGTGGATGGTGAAATTATATACAAAAATCTAAATAAAATATTCCGAGGACATGGATTTGAATCTCACTATGGCAGCTGGCAAAATTTGGATTCAATAAAAATCTGGAATGAAAAGCTAGCCTAATGGCAGCCATATGGTAACACTGTTGTAAATAGTTCGCTAATGCTCATTAGGGAAGGAAATCTTTATTGGTCTGGTCTCCATGGGACTCCAGGCCACAGGAGTACGATCGACTCTTGGCTCTCCTCAGGGCAATTAGGGATGGACAATAAAAGTTGGCTCAGTCAGCAACATCCATATTCCATGAAAGTATTAAGAAAAATTGTTCTCCTGAAATTGTTTATATTGTAAATCAATAATGTTTTGTGTTTGAGAAGCACAGGATGTCTGAAAATAGCATTGGCAATCTTAACGAGCAATTTTTAAAATTTAGTTTTAAAAAAATTAAATGCGCATAGTGTTCTATCTTCCTGAAAACAGGAGGGATGCATTTCAACTATGTTATAAAAATATTTGCAAAAGAAAGTTAATTAAATGATACTTTCTCATGAGTACAATGTTAATTACCATCAAAATGGGTTTGTAGCTGAATGTTAGTCATTATCGAGTCACCAGAAATGTATAAAGGAATAGCTATTATACAATGTAAAGTTGAATTCTGTTTTACTTTTATTATATTGTGCAGGTTTATGATCAGATGCCTGAACCTCGCTACGTAGTCTCCATGGGCAGGTGAGCATGTTATTGAGTTTCATAGCAGATTTAATAGTTTGACCATTGAAGGCTGATGTTTTAACGGTGGCATTGTTCTTACAGCTGCGCAAATGGTGGTGGTTATTACCATTACTCCTATGCTGTGGTGAGGGGCTGTGACAGAATTGTGCCAGTAGATATTTATGTCCCAGGTGAGTGCAGTGATCAAAGCAAAATTGCCAATTTACCAGTGCTACCAGTATGGTAGTATAGGTGATTGTTACGGGACTGGTAATTCCAAGGCCTTGGATCCTGAATTCAAATTCAACATAGTAGCTGTGGGATGTAAATTTAATGAATTAAATACATCTGTAATTTAAATGAAAGGTACTATAATTGATAGTGACCTCCAAGCCAACATGTTGTCATCAAGTTGCATCTGGTTCACCAACATCCTTCAATGAATGAAATCTGTCCTCAACTCGGTCTAATGTACATGTGCCTCCAGACCCACAGCCATGTGATTGACTGACTGTTGACTGCCCCTCCGAAACAGCATAACAAACCCATTCAGTAATATTGAAGAAGAAAGTTTACCAGCACCTCCTTGACAGCATTTAGGGCTAGACAATAAATACTGCCTTGCAACTAATGCCCACATTCTATAAATTATCTCTTGTTAAAAGCTAATTGTTTGTTTAGTTAAATATTGGATACAGTATGTCAAACGTTCCTCTACATCAGAATAGATATGTGAACCATTGCATAGATACACTCGAAAGGAAAGCAAGCAGGAACGTACATCTTTAACTTTAACTCCACCTCCACCAATTCAGGGCCTGACTCACTGGTGGAATAAAGTCAAAGGCATGTGACTAGAGAAAAAGTCTGTAGGGGAGGTGATAGGGGAGGATTATCTTTAGTTAAAATTGAATTTAGTGGGTGAACTCCCTAAAATCGAGCACCTCTGGCTTGGTTGACAAAGTAAGCATGGTGAAGCTGAGAGCCTTGGAGATTTGATTCTCAGTCCCCATTGTGTTAGCTGACTTTGACTGGGGAGCAGTCATTAGACAGGAACATATAGACCCATGTGAGGAAAATCTTGGGTACCACAACTGATCCTATGAACTCTGCTGGAGAGCATATATTTTTTGGCTGACTGAAGATAGCAGGGTGATGGCGTAGTGGTATTATCATTAGGGTATTAATCTAGAGAGCCAGATCATGATCTGAGGATCTGGGTTCAGATCCTGCCATGGCAGATGGTAGAATTTGAATTCAATGAAGGAAAAATCTGGGATTGAGAGACTAATGATGACCGCAAGACTGTTGCCAATCGTTAGACAAAACCTATCTGGTTCACTAATATCCTTTAGAAAGAAAATCTGCCATTCTAACCCGGTTTGGCCTGCATGTGACTCCAGACCCACGGCAATGTGGTTGACTCTTAACTGCTGTCTGGGCAGTCAGGGATGGGTAATAAATGTTGGCTTAGCCAACAATGTCCGCACTTTTGTGGATAAATAAAACAAACAAACTTTAGTGCTGCTCACAATAAACAAGATGCCAGTAGTGAATTCCTGAAACAATGTTCCACAGATATTTTGTCCACACAGCTTGGTACCAGCATAACCCAATCACTTTGGTTTCCCACTTCAAACAAACATGAGAATCATGATTAAACACCCAGAGTCCAAGAGAGGGGTTGCATGTGGTTCTGGTCACCAGGAGCCATGTCTTTGGGAGTGGGACTGCCTGGGCTCAGGTAGGTAACCCCCTCTGCAACAGTTCCGAATCGTACCCGTACCTGAGAGACATGGAGCCTGAGGAGCTGCTGGGCCAATCAAAATTCAGTCTCATGGTCTTCCGAGCACAGGCTATTCCTATCCTACATTTGCTGCTGATAGGCTCAGTAGTGAAGGAAAGCTGGGAAGGTAGGTGGCTGCAGTGAGCAAATCATTGAGACTAATGCTGGCCAGGTCCAGGGGTATGCTACCTACTGCCAGGGTTGTGCCAGAGGGCGGAAGGAGACTGAGGAGGGAATGCGATGCAAGGGGGAGGTGGCAGGGAGGTGTGAGTCTAAGATGGGGGAGATGCTGGAGGAGGATGCATGGTGAAGAAGTCTGAAAGAGTGGAGTCAGAGGAAAGGAAGCTGCAGAGGAATGGGGTGAAAGGACAACCAGGAAGGAGAAAGTTACAAGTGTGTGGGCAGGAAGGAGGAAGTGGCAGATGGAGAGGTTGAAACGAGAAGACTGCAAGTAGGGCGCAGGAAAGTGGAATCTGCAAGTTGGGTGTAGAAAAGCAGCAGCACTTTGTGGGAGGAGATGAGAATGGGGAGAATAAGTGTCGGGGGAGTACAAGGGAAGGAGGAGGTTGCTAGGGACTGGAATGAGGCGACATGGTGGTGAGTTGAAGGTACCTGCAAAGGATGCAAACGAGTTTAAAGCCCATTAACAAAATAATACTCAACTAACTGGGTGCCAGGAAAACTTTAAATCACCTGACCTAAATAATTATTGATGAATTCTTCTAATTTTGCTACTATGACAGTCCACATGTTGCAAATTAATAAAAATATGTAAGACAGTGTTACTACATCACCTAGTAAATGAGAATAAAAATATAGCAACTGAAAATCAGAAAGTAGCCCTCGAGAAAATCATAAGAGTCTGGACCGAGTTCAAAGAAATGGAGCTAATCACATACAATGAACAACCAGGTTGTGTGCAATTGTCTGATAAAGCTGTAAGTTATAAAGTGTATCATATCAAAACCTGCAATTTTTGGCCTTTAAATAAAGTCATAGCATACTGATGCTCCGAATTCTTGCTAAACCTACATAAATCAGTTTCTCTGTAGTTTCCAATTCTGGGCACTAGAAGAATGTGAAGGTTACCTCGAGGCTTTGGAAGAAATTTACGATCACAGCCCCAGAAATGAGGGATTACAGAGAAACTGGGGCTGCCCTCCTTAGCCAAGAAGCCTGAGGCGATTTGATTTGAGTGGTATAAAATTATGAAGGGTTTAAGTTGTGAAAAAAGAAACTGTTTCCAGTGACTAATCAAATGCCCCAGGTTTAACTTCTTGGATTGATTGACAAAAGAGTCAGAGGCAATTCGGAGAAAACGTTTACACAGTGATAAGGATTGAAATAAACTTGTTCCTGGTGTGATGATGGATACAGATTCTAATGAGTCTTCAAAGGAAATTGTATAAGTACTTGGAGAAAAGTTGGGAAAGAACAGGTGGTCAGGGAGGTGATTTCTCTTGGAGCCAACACAGACTTGATGGCCTGTATGTGCTGCACTGTCCTGTAGAACCCAGTGCATCACAAAGTTGCTCAAAGCTGTTGAGGGAACATGAGACGTTCCGTGACCCGTGATTTCTCTCCTTTGTTCTGGAGGCACCACTGCTTCAGCATCACATGGGCTCCACACAGAATCCAATATCACAGTTGTACAAGATTAACAAATATGTGTCTATCTTGACTTGTACCATGCACACAGGAGCTGATCTGCTCGTACACCACCACTCGTGTGGAATGTCTCTGGTTTGTTCTCTTGTATTGATTTGGCCTGGACATTTGTGCATTAGTGACTTGCATTTGGAACCAGACCATGGACAAGTGGTCTGTGGACCACAATTTGAACCACTTTGGAGAATGGAAGAATCTGGGTGGAGAACATCTATCTGAAACTTAAGAATCTTGTGTTACATCTCCATTGAAGTTAAATTCATTCAAAAGAGCGGCTACTCCCTTTGATACGATTATTTGAGTTATTTTGGATAAATAATAGTTTTTCCTTTTATGTTAGGCTGCCCACCTACAGCTGAAGCACTTCTGTATGGAATTCTGCAACTGCAGAAGAAAATAAAGAGGGAAAGAAGATTAAGCATTTGGTATCGGAAATAAATGGATGTATAATTGCAACCAGTATTTATAATGTGTGTGGGCCATAATGTGATTCTTTGGTGGAGGAATGAATTCTTTGTTGTTATGTTATATATGAATGTATCCTATAAACTTTCATTTAAAAAGTTGAAACATTGCTTTAGGCATTTCTTTTGCTTTCAATATTGTTTTTCAGCAATTTAGTATTTTACTAGACATTTTCTTTGGCTCTGATGCAAATGTCTGCATTTTTCAGATACTTCCCTGACTCTAGCAGTAAGGCAGTGGTAAAAATTGGAAAGGTCTCCCATAACTTCTATAAATTACATTTGACATAATAAGAATTCTTTTACGTAGATTCTGTCTTTTAAAAAAAAAATTAACAAGCACTCCATTTCTCCTTTGTTACTCTTGTCAGGAATGCAAAGAAACGGTTTCTCGTCTTGGCTTTAGGAATAGTAGAGAAATGGGGTGGTCTTAATGAAATGTTAAGTTTAAAATCGAAGTACAGGAAAACAAAGTGAAGAGACAAATCTGACTCGTGACCAAATCTTTATTCCACCATGTGCAAGCTTCCCTGGAGGCATACAGTGTTTACAGCAACTTGGTCAACCCTGCTATTGAATAATTTTTTGATTTTCCACTGATACTGCAAACCAAGCATTTCCTTATTATAAGAATATTATTAAGAATAGCAAAACTTTCTCAATTGTATTAAACTTATTTTTCCACTTTTAAAATCCATAGCTCACCAGTTTTCGGTACCTATCAGTATACGGTGGGATTATAATTTACAATATTACTAACTGCTCTGAAGATGTGTCAGGTGTCTCCCTCACACCATTTTTTAGTTGTCACCAAGTGCACTAGATCTCCACCATTGGATTCTTTTAGTATATTCCAGGCATTTCTGCAGCAACATCTGGTAAAGTAAACTCTTAGAAAATAAGACATTTAGTGAGGGTGAGCTTGTGGGTAAGCCCTTTATAAAATTGTGACAAGTACTGTACAAATATAGTCTGGATTTCCAAAAATGTCACCAATAATTGAGCCACATTGCGTTCAATAGTAATGCATACATATCACCACATTAGTTGTGTACAACATTTTTCATTGTATCACAAAGAATCTGGGATACATTCATACATTGAATCTGATAAAAGGCATCCTTTAATTACTTTAAGACTTGTAATGATTCTTCATGACAGTGCTAGTAAAAGTTGGCCAGTTAGTGTTTAGTTATCTTAGGTGTGATCATCTTATGAAAAGAGTAGTATCGGCAATCTTTGGGAGGAATAAGGTCCATCACACTGGTCTGAATATTCTCCTTCTTGAAGCCAGACTCCACCAAATGAGACACTTGAGTTTCCTGGAAAGGTTAAAGGTATACGTTAATATGGCAAACGTTAAACTGATCACACAGCACTACATATTCAAAAAAATTCAAGATGTTATCCTGAATTACACAGCAAGATAATAGTTCAACATGCAGAAGCCTTTACTAAAATAAATGTTTCAGTGCGAGGGCCAACCAGGCAGAGAAACAATGAGAACTACTGTTACCCCCAGATGAGGAACAGCAGCTCAGATGTGAATTAAATCATGTCTTTTCTGCCACCACATTACCTCAAACTTACAGGACCTCTCCCAACTAGATATAAAATGCAAGCTGTTTAGAATGTACAGCTAGTTCTGGCAGCTTCTGAATGAATCAAACAGATCACACCTATGTTGCATGGCAGCTTCAACAAGGTGTGTTTTATTCCTACCTGGAACATCTTTTCAATGTCGCTATACTTTTCCTTCAGCAGCTCTCCCCAGGAGGTGAGGTTGCAATATGTAAGAACACCACCAGGTTTCAGCAGACGCCAGGCATAACCCTGAAAGAAAAATTTAATCTTTTGATTTGGCTGCATTTTCTGCTAGTGTGCTCCCAAGATTTATCTGTTACGTTAACCAAACTGTGTCAACACCAACTACAATATCAATCCTGAGATTGGACAGGGTGATAACTGGATCCAAGCAGAGAACAAGGAGGAGATGAGAAGAAATGGTGAGTAAGTAATTGGGACAGGGTTGGGCTGGGAAGAATAATAGAATGACTACAGACTCACGAGCACATCTATGGAACAAAAACAGAAGTTGCTGGAAAAGCTCAGCAGGTCTGGCAGCATCTGTGAAGGAGAAAACAGAGTTAACGTTTCAGATCCGGTGACCCTTCCTCAGAACTG